ATTTTCTCCTCTCTCATTCTTTCCTGCTCTCTAACAACGTGTTGTCGTCTGCTTTCATCTCCATTTTCTGCCCTTACCTCCTTTTGGCTCCTGAAACTTTCTACAGTCTTTTCTACTGCTTCTTCTTGGCTCCGTCTTACTGCTGTCTTTCAGCCAAACTCCAGATCTTGTGGTAGGTAAGATCCACACCACACCTAGCCTTCTCGGACAAGAGCCAAAAATCTCGGAGGTCCTGTGTGCAAGCACACGTTAAAGAGCCCTTGGTGGTCCAAAATCAAAAAGAAGAGCAGGCCTCCGCTGCAACCCGAGCAAAAATCAAAATTTCCTACCAACTGAAAACTATTGGTGGGTCCTGGACGCTCATAAAAGTCATATGCGAGCGCCGTAAAACACTTACTAATTATAACAACAAACTCAAACACCAAAAAAAAACCCCCAATTGCATCAGTTTCAATGTACACAGCTTAATGATCTTCGTTTTCTTGTGTTTCGTTAATACTTTCCATCTTGACTGTAACCATGTTACCCTTCTTTCTCTCTCTACTTTCTCTCTCTTTATCTCTCTGTTACTGTTAGAGTTAGACATGATCCTATTCACTAGTCATATTGTGAATAAATCCTTTTATTTTCTTGCACATCGATACCAAATATGTAAATATCTAAATCACTTGTCAAAGTGGTCTCATCCCAATATAATATCTGTTTACAAAGACGTTTAGGCCCATTTGTTGTTGTCTTTTGCCTCAACCCCCACGCAGTGCCTCTTATAAAGTCTATAAAATTCTCACTACTGAGCGTGCGGCGCTCGCAGAGTTGGCCTATTCAAGATGGCGGCCGGTTAGTTACGGGTTTTCCACGGCGCGCGCAGTCCATATCTTTTTAGGTCAGTGGACTGACGTCATCGCTAGGCCTAAGTCCGCCGTGTGTTTGGCCTCGTACGTAGTAGCCTGAGAAGTTCCGCTACGTGACGGCTTGATGGGAGGGGAGACGATTTAAAGTTACGAGCCGGCGTGATAACAAACGTGAAGGAATTAGGCTCTGTCGCGACAATTAAACAGCAGTGAATCCCACTTCTCTATTTGAGCACCTTCAAATCGGCAAGGTGCTTTTTGAATGTTGATACATGTTTGTTTGGATTTACTTAAAACTGAATGAAAATCATCAGCAGCAATACATCTCCTGTCAACAGTCCAGCTGAAAAAAATCTGACCGGCACAGCCGGTCTTGCCCAGTTAACAAACCACCCCTGGACAGGAACAACCCAACATTCCAACTTCATACAACACTGCAAAACAAATCATTAAAAGCAACAACAAACAAGATTGGATGAACAGATGGGCCCAGGGAAAGACAGGAAGAGCAGTTTTCAAACATATAACCACAACAAAAAGGAATGACAATATAACCACATACAGAGAAAGAAACAGACCACGATCTTTCGCCTACGAACAGATTTATACAGCTCAACTTCCACCTGAACAGAATAAACCCGGAACTTCCCCCATTGTGTCCCTTGTGTGACTATGCATATAATGAGACTGTGGATCATCACCTGTTCCACTGCACAGCCCTAATCATCAGAGCTACCCTCTCGGATCCCTCGGAGACCTAACATTGACAACACACTCAATGGAACTTACAGCAACTGCAGCAAACCTGCACTTATCACTACATGACTACATGGCATTGGACAGAAGGGCAAGAGTCCAGCTGTTGCTGGATCGATAACAACAACAACAACAACAACAACAACAACAACAACAACAACAACAACAACAACAACAACAACAACAACCTCAAAGTTTGGCTTTTATCTGAACTTAGATTCAATATCCTTACAATTCCTTGTTTTTTTGTCCATTTTCTCTAAACAATGTTTTGGGTTCACTTACTAGGCCTATACTTACTAGATCTCTAGTACTGTTATTTAAGATATCCATCCGAAATTTTGAATACATATTATCAAGATAATGGTGCATGTCCTAAACCGCTCAAAAATGGCTCCAAATCTTGAAAACTGTAGTTTAAATATGATTCTTGCATACATAATTTTAATTAGGCTGCTTAAAATCTTTTTTGTTGTTGTTCATCACTTACTCGTTCAACATCTATATAAACTCACAATTCGTCCCAATAACTACTTCAGAAGGTTTGGGACATGCATGCATTAGGTATTCAAGAATAGTTCCTGAAAGTTTCATGCAAAAAATTCTAATACTATTAGTAATAGGTGTATGAGATGCAGTCTTCCAAGTGACATGCCTATATTTTGCCTTCGGCGGCCATATTGGAAACCTAATTTGCATTCTCAACATTTTTTTGACATTCAAACATTTTTTATTTTGCACCTGTAGGGTACATACATAGATCTATAATATTATTATGGTTATTGTAAGGCGTGGAAGGCAAATAGCAACAAAAAAAGCAGGTTTTTGCATCCCGATACGTTTCTGCCAAGTCAGCAGGTTTCGGTTTTTGTTTATTTTAAAAAAAATAATTTTTAGACAGATTCTAGACTCTAGTGTGGTTCGTGAATGGAATGCCAGCTAATGAAAATGGACCGAGGAGAAGGGTGAGCGCAAAAGGTGTCCAGGTTTAAGGTTACGGTTTCGTTTTGTTTGTGACGTAAGCCAAGGCTGTCATGCTGGGCAACTGGGCAAAGCAGGAGGAAGTGAACCCTTTTCAATTTGGACAGAGACGAAAGTGGCTATTCTCACCCGCCCGGAAGTTCTCGCAAGATCAACTCCTCCCCTCTTCTCTCTCTCTCTCTCTCTCTCTCTCTCTCTCTCTCTCTCTCTCTCTCTCTCTCTCTCTCTGTCTCTTTCTGAATACTGTCTATCGGTGTGGAAGATCAAATTGACCAAAACAAAGTTTAAAAACGATGTTAAAACACAAAAGTAAATTAATTTGGTTGTCTACAAAAAGATGCTACGGCTATTTAACTTTTCGAATCGAGCCGAACTACGCGGGTCGCCATTTTGTTTTGCCCGGAAATTCTCGCGCTACTCCTCTCTCTCTTTCTCTCTCTCTCTCTCCACTGCCCACAGACAAAATTGTACGCTTTTAGTAGGCTACAGTTGTAATGGAACGTTTGTTCACGGCACAGAATTCTACAATTTTTCTGTTATCACAGTGTAGAATTCTGTGGTTTAGGGTGAACCTACGCTAAGGGGTGAACGCAAAATTTGGTGAACGCGCACCGGGTGAGAATAGCCACAAGACTCGCCTGCACTATTCTCACAGAGACACAATTTGTAGAACAGAAAATTCGCTTAAAATGCGTTATATTCAAAATGTGTCTGATTTGATTACTTAAAAATACTTTTCTTCAACTAATTCTTTCATGTGACTTTTCCAGCGTTTTTCTAATTTGTAATTTTAAACAAATGCCAGGCCTGGCTGAGCCAGTCTTTGGTTTCGGTTTCGGTAATTCCGTGTTTCTAAATCTATTTTTAGAAGCTGATGGATGACAGCCAATGACAGTAAGGCAAGTTGAGTCAGTGGTGGTTTCGGTTTTGGAGGTTTCGGTTGTAGTTTCGGCAGGATTTCCTGCCTCAATTTCTGTTTTGTCGAGGAAATGACGCGTAGTCCAGAACAAGTCAAGGTCTGAATCTATATAAACTGGGTTTTGGATGGAGCTTCAAGCATTTCAACTGACTTTGATTTCACTTGCCTCCGGACATTTTTGGGAAAGTGTACATTGTATCGTTTTATCTCCTCTATCCAGACTCAAGCTGGTTTTGCTGTCTCTGTCAATGCGTGACGTGTGCTGACCTGTGTAGCTTGTGCACTCTGTTTTCTACAACTTACGGCAGGCCACAAGGACGACACAACTTTCTTCGAACGTCAAGCCCAGACAGGATTTCTAAACCAACGGCCAACGGTGAGTGGTCATGAAAGATCAGTGGATTGCTGACAGATGCTTCGTTAGTCTGAATCAGTTAAACGTTTTGATGTCTGCAGTGGCGGGTCGTGATTTATAGAACTGACCGGCCATCATTCACATCGACTCTTTCTCCCTCCCCCCACCCACTTAACAACGCACATGCACACACACACACACACACACACACACACACACACACACACACACACACACATGCACGGACGCATGTACGCACGCACACACATATACTCTCTCTCTCTCACTCTCTCTCTCACTCTCTCTCCTCCTCATTTATACCCCTATTTTCGCCATCTCCACCCCCCCCTCCCTCACTCACACACACCGGTGTAAACATTATTAATATAAAGTGAAAGTGCAAGAGCTGAAATATGGTAGTGTCAAGAAACAGTATTATTATGAATAATGTATGATGGAAGTTACTGAGATTAATAGAACCTGACTTGGTCGGCACAGAAAAAGAAACACTAATAAAGTCTCTATGCAAGAAAACAAACTGATAATGAGAAGCTATTTAAACTGCTGGTCCTGCCCTCCACTTTAACCACAGACTTATGTACTTTCTACACACCCGCACACAATATTGATGTGCACTCGACCTGTAAATATATGACATAAGAACTCAACTGTCCTGTATGATGACAATTTAAAGAGTCAATTGGTACTGTACCACTAGTGACGCTGTCCCATGCAGATCAACAAGTCAACAGTCAGATACTATACAAAGCTGGACAAAGTTAGCACACAACAGTTTTCCATCATTATGTAATGAAACGTTTTTCATCGTACTTTTCAGTTCACAGAACACTGTTGTAACAAAGTGGGGAAGTGTGTCAAATGCTAAAATAGAACTTGATGTCTAGCTGGGGTGACAGAGGAAAAGGGAGGGGGTAGGCCTATATATTGTTTTTGGCCCAGACTCTGACAGCCGAGTGCCTATATTGCTCCTTGTTATAATTCTCCTTATATATCTTCACTAGACGATTCCTCTATTCGCCGGCTAGACTCATATATAATGGGCCAGGTAAGTTATTAGTTGGGAGAAAGCGATGGATAAAAATACCAACAGGAACTATAGATGGCTTAAAATTCAATAAACAAAAAAGATTAGTGCAATGCTGACAATAATTGTTCTGATGATATTTAGAGAAAGGCTGAATGATAAATACGTACTGCTGATAAAGTAACTCATGTGTCTGTGGTGCTCAAGACAGTCTCAATCTTAATTTTGTAAGCAACACAGAGGCCAATTTGGCAACCAAGGGATACTCTATTCGCTCTGAGGGCAGTCGATGGATTTGCTCAGCTGACTGACGTCATCGCTGAACCCGCCGTGTTCGGTTTGTCCTCGTACGAAGTTCCACGGCTCGACGGGAGAGGATTTAAAGTTACGAGCTGGCGCGATAAACAAACGTGAAGGAATAAGGGTCTGTCTCAACAAAACAGCAGTGAATCCCACTTGTATATTTTGAGCGCCTTCAAATCGCCAAGGTGCTTTTTGAATGTTGATACTTGTTTGTTTGGATTTACTTAAAACTGAATAAAATCATCATCAGCAATAAATCTCTTGTCAACAGTCCATCTGACAAAAATTTGACCCGCACCGCTGGTCTTGCCCAGTTAACAAACCGCCCACTTCTCGAAGTTCTTCGGTTTAATAACGGTGTTATATTGGGGGGTTAATTAATTCTGGCAAAAACACTAGCCCTAGTTTAGCCATACCGTAATTCTGGAATTGGATAATGGAGGGTTAGGGTGAGGAAGCACCTTAACAAACGGTTCTGAATAAATAAATTACTGGAGTTGTCCATTTTCTTCGTAATATTGATGCGCTGATCGATTTAACCTATGATTTTCTAGGGAAGTTTCTAAAAATCTCCAAAACACGGGCTGACCCCAAACTGGACCCTCAAAAACCTAACTTGTGTAAACTTAAGTAGAAATATACAGGACAGCCGGATTTTCTTTGGTTTAGGCAGGTATTTGGTCTATAGAGACTGCTCAAATCGAAGGAAAAAATTGGGGATTTATTTTCTTTCAGTTTACTGCCGTTTTTGGATTAAACATCCTTAGTGTAAGCTCATTCCACTCGTTAATGAAGTGTCGATGGAGCTGGATAAAATTTTAATTTCATTTGGTTTGTTTTCAGATGGCGACAGCAAGGGAGCCCCGCAAGCGTCTTGTTCCCTTCTTGAACAGCATGATTGGGCAGTGCCCAGGAGTTGAATGGGAAAACCAACAAGAGCTAATGTTTCGTATTCCTTGGAGACATTTCAAAAATCGTGAGTGGGCACCAGCAGATTCCCAGATATTCCTGGAGTGGGCCAGACTCACGGGCAAGTTCAACAAGGGGGATAAGCCTGATTATCCTCTGTGGAAGACACGACTTCGATGTGCCCTCAACAAAATACCAGAGATTAAGGAAATAAAGAGACTTCACCGTTCAAATGACCCAAATCCTTATCGGGTTTATCAGTTTGTTCAATCTTCACCCGGTACCTTCGATAAAGATTTTTCTTCTGATAGTTGTAGCAATGTGTCTAGCCCAGCGACATCTGCCGGCTCAGAATCCCAACCATCTCCACACATGCCCCTGGATGACACAGATTTTCTTCTCGCTGCGGCTTCTCCCCATCCTCAGAACCAAGTCTCTTCACAACATCTGCAACAGGAAAATCCCCAGATTCCCACAGTGGTTCTGGATGTGGCTGAGAATAACAGAACATTCAACATCGTGGCTTACCCCACGGAAAGGAGGGAGATGAACGACCTTCCTCCTCAAACGGTTGACAAGAGTGAACAATTTTGTCATAATATCTTTGCTAGTGAAGCTGTTCCCTCAGAATTAGGGCTTTCCGGGTTCCCGTCTGTTGAGAAAATGGAGACCAATGGGAGTTTGCCATCAGATCTAAAGTCGCTGGAAGATGGTGACCTAGTGCGTGTATCCCCAGGAGAGAATATGCCCTCAATGCCCAGTGTAAACACGCCCAGTTTTGGATCTTACACATCAGTACAGCAGGCGGAAAGGGGAGAGAACAACACAGCCGTCCCAAATATTCCCTCAGTGGCAGATGAGCCTGCTTTCAATTTCTCTCTGTGGTATGGCTTCAACCAGAAATTGTGTGTGATGAGTGGGCCCATTTCATCCCAAGGGTGTTGTCTTTTTACTGATCCGCAAAAGCTCAAAGAGAAATTCGTTCTCGACCAGGAGTTGCTTGGTCCCAGAGAGGTGGAACAGCTGGAGATGCCCTCTGTGAACCAGTGCTATGGCGGGGAGCAGCTGGATGAGGTCCAAGTGAAGTTGATCTCACAACTCTTGGACAACATGGAACGAGGCCTTGTCCTCATGGTCAAGAACCACGTACTCTATGCTCAACGCTTGTGCAAGACGCGCATCTTCGTGTCTGACAACAAGTCCACAAGTTGTATACTGGAGCGTGGGGGCCAGAAATTGATCCAGATATTTGATCCAATAGGCAACAGAGATTCCTCTGTATTTCTTACTTTTGGACAAGAGATAAAAAAAGACGGTGCTGGAAAGCCCATGCGTCGAGTGCTCATATGCTTACAGATTGATCATGTGAAATCAAAGCAGAACATGGATAAGATAGTTCTAGATTCATACGCCAATTCCAATTCACTAGATCAGTTTATTTCAGGAAATGACGGCAATGATAATCTGTTAGACCAGTTGAAAAACATAAGCGTTTCTTGATTTTTTCGTCTTCTGTCAATATGTTTTCAATTGTGACTTATCTTTTAATGTACCATCAACTTACGTTTTACTGTTTACAGGTTAGGCTTAAGGTTAGATTGTGTTAATGCTTCCCAATAGTTATTTCTGATGAGATAACAGCTTTGAAATAATACTGACAAGCTGATTATGCTTGAGGGATTAGCAAGCCCAGTCTAAGAGTAAGATAAAGTGTATATATAGTTTTAGTTGTGCACAACATCAGATCCACTGAGTCAATATTTCACACATATTAGAACACAATGTCTTCTTTCTATTGGTTGCTTCGAAAACAGAGGGAACTGAGAAAATGTTCTCATAAGCATTGCTCTTATTAATTTGTACAAATGTATCAAAGACCATATATATATATATATATTATGGATTCAACTGAAGGTCCTTTTTTTAAATCGAAAATTTGTCACTGTTTGTCATTTTCAAGATTTGGTTTCTCTTTTTTAATGTTGTGCTTTGTTAGTTACTTTACCTTCAATCAGAATTTATGGAACTTCCAACACAAGAAAGTCATATAGGTTGGAAAGATGAGAGGTTTTACTAGAGAGTAACATACAAAGAAAAGAAAGAGGAGAGATAAGGACGATAAATGTTTGATAGAAAAGAAGGAGCAAACCACACTAGGGCACCTGCCAACCTCAGATGTTGTGTTTTTCCTACTAATTATTTTCTGTTAATGGTTACCTTATGCAGATGCTTTCATATGTTACTAGGAGTTTGTTTCATCTCTGAAAGGCCAGAGTAAAATAAATAACTTGCCATGCTTGTTCTCTCAGAAAAGCCAGAGTAATGTATGATAAATCACTTTCATTTTGCCTTAACGTTCTCGAGCATGGATTGCAGCATCTCACTTGGCATACCTCTCGAAATCCCCATTTTGAAACTGCAGCGCTTTCAAATACTGAGCCATGGTTATCGTGTCTAGAAAAAGTAAGAATGTTCATATTACCCTTATTTTAAGAAAACTACATAGGCTTCACACAATTGCCAGAACTACTTACAAAATATTACATTTCAAGATTGCTGTCCTTACCCAGTTGTGTTAACCACTAATTCCCCCTTGTATTTTTTAAAATAACCTCAGTCAAATGTATGTTGCACCAAGATTTCTCTGATGGGGAGATCAGTCTGAGAGGTTCTTTTCTCGTTTAGTTCCATAAAACTCTCTTAGTGTAATTTTTATCCCACAACATTTGAGGGTTACAAAGTCGGAGGCAAAATTTAAAATGAAAATACTGTTTTATAGTTCTTCTTATCCACAGAGAACTTTTATGTTTATAATGTGTTGTGTATATCGTCATTGATTATACCAATATTTTTCTTCTTTTTTTTTTGGTGCATCATGTATATTCTACAAGTAGGCCTATTCATAGATTCTCTGAGCGTTTTACGGAGCTGGCATGTTTTATCCTAGTATTAATTAAATATATATATATGTACTCTATATGATGCACAGACTTTTTATCGCAGATAGTGAGGAAATATATGCATTTTAGAAACGTATTTGGTTTATGTTTTCCTTCTCGCAAGTTATTTGATCATCCATTCTGATTCTGTGCTGTCTTCATCTCGTGCTATAGATTGCAGATAAACATGCCCAAAGTTTCTGCTTGAACTGGTGTCAGTTAAATACAATTTGGATACCTTCACGTTGTGTACAGTGTACAGATCTTTTAGTTGTTGGTTTTTTTAGTTTTCACTGGAATAAAACAAATATAAAATCTGAACAAATTCAGTTCTGTAAATTTGGAATGCCAGTATCATAGAACCTCATGTAACTGGGTATCTGAGGACTTTCCTCAAAATTCTCACTGACCCTGACACGTCTTTCTCACTCTATCTCACATCTGACTCTCTCTCTCTCTCTTTTTCTCTCTCTCTCTTTTTCTCTCTCTGTCTCTCTCTCTCTCTCTCTCCTCCTTTTTCTCTCTCGCTCTGACTCTAACATCTGTCTCTGACTCTCTCTCTCTCTCTCTCTCTCTCGCTGATCCTCACATCTGCCTCAGACCCTCACACCATTTGACCCACACATCTGTTTCTGGCACTCTCTCTCTCTCTATCCCCCCCTCTCTCTCTCTCTCTTTTTCTCTCTCTCTGACCCACACATCTGTCTCTGACTCTCTCTGTCTCTCTCTCCTTATCCCCCCTCTCTCTCTCTCTTTCTCTCTCTCTCACTCTCTCTCCCCTCCCGCCCTCTTTCTCTGACCCACACATCTGTCTCTCTCTGACCCGCACATCTGTCTGTCTGTCTGTCTGTCTGTCTGTCTGTCTGTCTGTCTGTCTGTCTGTCTCTCTCTCTCTAACAGTGACCTTCACACCTGTCTCTATCTCTCACCACAGTAACTTTCACACCTGTCTCTGTCTCTCACCACAGTGACTTTCACACCTGTCTTTGTCTCTCACTGTGGCCTTCACACCTGTCTCTCACGGTGACCTTCACACCTGTCTCTGTCTCTAACAGAGACCCTCACACCTGTCTCAGTCTCTAACAGTGACCCTTACACCTGTCTCTATCTCTCACCACAGTGACTTTCACACCTATCTCTATCTCTAACAGTGACCCATACACTTCACCTGTCTCTGTCTCTACTTGACCCTCACACCTGTCTCTGTCTCTCACGGTGACCTTCACATCTGTCCCTGTCTCTCCCTGACACTCACACCTATCTCTCTGAAATGGTGTATGACAGATTTAACGCCCCTTTCAACACTATTAGGTTATTTAAGAGGCGGGGTCTCTGAGTTTAACGTCAATCTCCGAAAGGACCGAATCAGATGGGACATTCACGTAAAGTGCTTTTCCCAAGAGCACAACAAAGGACCAAGCTGAGGCTCGAACTCCCAAACCTGCAATCTCACGATTACGAGTCCGAGTCTGGTAGCCTACCCACTAGGCTACCGACGTCACACCTATCTCCCACTCTCTCTGCTGAACCCTCACATCTGGCCCTTACTCTCTCTCTATCTATCTCTCTCTCTCTGACCCTCATACCTGTCTCTGACTCTCTCTCTCTCTCTCTCTCTCTCTCTCTCTCTCTCTCTCTCTCTCTCTCTCTCTCTCTCTCTCTCTCTCTCTCCTCTCTCTGACCCTCACACCTGTCTCTGGCCCTCTCCTTGATCCTTACACCTGTCTCTGACCCTTCTACATGTCTCTAAACGTAGCCAACTCAACTAACACTACAAACAAGAGAAGCTATACGGGCCGACAGATGAACTGAGCAGGACGGCCCAATTTATGACAGATACCAGACTTCAAGTGTGATGCCATCGAGAAGAAGAAGCAGAAGATAGCTCTCTCTCTCTCTCTCTCTCTCTCTCTCTCTCTCTCTCTCTCTCTCTCTCTCTCTCTCTCTCTCTGACCATCATACGCCCTTCTCTCTCCCTCTCCCTCTCTCCCTGACCTTCACACCTGTCTCTGACCATCATACCTCTCTCTCTCTCTCTCTCCCACACATCTGTCTCTGACAGTCTCTCTCTCTCTGCCTCTCTCACCCTCACACCTTGTCTGGCTGTCTCTCTCTCTCTCTCCCTCTCTCTCTCTCCCTGTAACCTTCACACCTGTGGTCTGACCATCATCTCTGTCTCTGTCTCTCTGTCTCTCTCTGATCTTCATACCTGTCTCTGACTGCCCCCCCCCCTCTCTCTCTCTCTCTCTCTCTGCCTCATACATGTCTCTGACTCTCTCCTGACCCTCACATCTCTCCCTGCTGACCCTCTCCCCGACCCTCACATCTGTCTCTTTACCCGACCCTCTCCCTGACCCTCACATCTGTCTCTTTACCCGACTCTCTCCCTGACCCTCACATCTGTCTCTACTCACATCTGTCTCTTTTACCCGACCCTCTCCCCGATCCCCACACCTGTCCCTGCTGACTCTCTCCCTGACCCTCACACCTGTCTCTATAACCCGACCCTCTCCCTGATCCTCACACCTGTCTCTATAACCCGACCCTCTCCCTGATCCTCACACCTGTCTCTATAACCTGACCCTCACACCTGTCTCTAAACCCGACCCTCTCCCTGATCCTCACACCTGTCTCTATAACCAGACCCTCTCCCTGATCCTCACACCTGTCTCTATAACCCGACCCTCTCCCTGATCCCCACACTTGTCTCTATAACCTGACCCTCACACCTGTCTCTAAACCCGACCCTCTCCCTGATCCTCACACCTGTCTTTATAACCTGACCCTCACACCTGTCTCTATAACCCGACCCTCTCCCTGATCCTCACACCTGTCTCTATAACCCGATCCTCTCCCTGATCCTCACACCTGTCTCTATAACCCGACCCTCTCCCTGACCCTCACACCTGTCTCTATAACCCGACCCTCTCCCTGACCCTCACACCTGTCTCTATAACCTGACCCTCTCCCTAACCCTCACACCTGTCCCTGCTGACTCTCTCCCTGATCCTCACATTTCTGTCTCTTGAACTCTCACTTATAACTTTTCCGCTGTCTCATATTAACAAAAAAAGACAAAAACTTTTGCCTGGACGACAGGTAGGTTCCAAATAAACCATCATCTCCAAAGTATTTGTGTCAATAGAGGCATGAATCGTGTACCACTGAGTTCGTCACGAAGGTTATGATAGATGTTCCCACCATAACTTAGACAGGTGATCTCATCATCAGGGCCATGATATCCCTGGAAGTTTTCTGCCAGAGCTGAGTAAGATCAAGTCATTGGCCTTGTACTTGTACAGTACGCTACCTAAAGAAGTTCCGTAGCATCAGAGAAATATAGGTGTTTCTTTATAAACAGACCACTCACGAAAAATGATGGGTACACTACATTTTACTTTTAGCCCTATTTCTATAGACAGAGACAAATCACTTATCCAATGCACCAGTATTTCAAATGTTTCACTGTGTAAGTTAAGAAGCGAAATGTTTGCTTAAATATAGATCTATTCTCTGGATGCACATCATTCAGTTTCAAAGTAATCAGACGCTTTTAACTTTTAGCTTGCACAAAGACGAAAGGAACAATCTTATCCGACAGTTTTCTGGCACATCATCCAATCACTCTCTCTCTCTCTCACACACACACACGCGCACACACACACACACACACACACACACACACACACACACACACACACACACACACACACACACACACACACACACACCACAGAGTGATATATACCCATAGACACGCATACCATCCAGTGATACACACATACACACACCACCCAGTTTTCTGGCACATCAACCAGTGACTAGTGGCATACACACACACACCACACTCCAGTGATACACACACACACCACTTAGTGCACACACACAAACACCACCTAGTGCAAACACACACATCATCCAGTGGCAGTAACGTACACATGCACACACACACACTACCCAGTGACAAAAACACAGTGCCACTGACACACACACATCCAGTGATACACATACATCACCCAGTGACACAAACACTCACACATAGCATACAGTGACACACACACACACACACACACACACACACACACACACACACACACACACACACACACACACACGCACACGCACACACACACACACACAAACACCATCCAGTAACACACTGTTGTCTCCTTATCCTAGCTTCACATTCATATGTGAGGCAGCGCTGTGGAATCAGGCTCTCGTCAATTTTTGGGCTTATTGAGTTATTGGCATCTTGTTAAAGCTTGTTCATTTGTCTTGCTTTCAATGAAAAAATTACCCATCCATCTTCAATAGAAGTGGAGATATTTTGGATTGAATGAGATGGGGGTCACCTGATTTAAGAGGTAAAATTAGCGAGAAAATGGCCGCCAAAGCTTGGTAAATTCCAAAGCTGGAGAGTCCATGGAAACTGTAAATTTATATTTTTGTGCCTTAAATGAATGTTTTCGATGAAATCCTCAAAGGAATGTGTTTGTAAATGGACATAAAAGGTGTTGAGCCAAAAAACAAAAATTTGATAAAAATTGTTAAGCAGGGAGAAAACTACTGTTTTCTTAGAATTCATTATTTTGACGAGAACCTGATTCCACCACGCTGCCTCACATATCACTGGAGTGAGAGTTTTTAATCAGGCTGTTATATATTCGGGAACAGATGTTTGAATATAAGCGAAAAGAATACGTCACCTCTGCTCCAAAGCTATTATTAAATTGAGTAAAGACACTTACACGGACACAATAATGATCAGTTAGTGGTGGGAGCAAGCAAGAGGGACAGACAGACTAAAGAACCAACATAATTTTTAATAAGAAAGGGACAGTAAGTAGGACAAACCAGTGACACTCTTTTGTGCTGTAAAGCCTCAAATTACGAACAGTTTATGATGGTATGCCTACTCATTTTGCAAACACCAAAGGTTGGGTTCTGGTTTGAGTCCAGTCCAACCAGTGTGACATCCTTCAGAATGTTTTCAGTGTTACTAAATCTGTGATGATTGGGAAGAGAGGATTCAACTCACAAGTTTTCTCAGAGATACATGTTTAAGTGAATACACATCAAGTTCATCAAGTTCTGTTGGAGCGGGGCAGGGGGAGGTGTCACAGGTTCAGGGCGCATCAGCAGAAAGAAAGATGAGAAGATAAACAAGCGTACAAAAACATTTGCTCAAAAACTCCTGAATCTGCTCAATTTGGGATTCAAATTCCTTTACAGTGCAGCCTGCCTATAACAACTTTCGATTTAACGACATTTTCTGTTATAGCAACATGGTGCCCCGGTCCTGATTTTTTCCTTTTATA